GGGGGGTAGCTGCTCCTCCAAATGGCAATTCGGGGTTCATTCAGGCAGGACTGTGCGGGCGTGAGGGGGGCCGAGAGGATGGGACCTTCCTTCCCGAAGGACGAAAACTGGCCGGGGGCTGCAGCCCAGGAGCCAGTTTTCCTCTAGCTGGAATGGAGGGCGTGAAGCCGTCAGGTTCTCAGCCTTTATCTTTGCACGGGGAACAAAGATAGGAGCGGGCTTTTCAGAGTCGTGTCTCAGCTTAAAAAAGAAAATAAATCAGAGATAATCCCACAGAAAGAAAACCAAATGCAAAAGAAATGAAAGCCCCTGATGCTCTTTTCTCAGTCTTACTCCGAGCGTGAACAAATCACACGGAATTGAGAAAAAGACAGCGCTTAAAAAAAAAATGCAAAAAATTAACGGAGGAAAACCCCATCTCTCACTTCCTAAGTAGCTGACAGCCCTTCTGCTCGTCTTCCCCTGCCCACACGGAACAGCTAAGCCAGAGAAATACTGCGCAGCAGAGCATGGTGCACGAGGGAGCACATCCAGACAGGCACAAGGCAGAGCAGAGGATGCAGGACGGGATGGGGACGGCTCCTCACTGAAACGGCAGCGCCAGGGACAGCCAAGGGAGGGACGGAGAGGGAGGGAGGGAGGGGCAGCGGGGATCTCCCGGCACTCCAAATAACAAACAACCCCCGCCACCCATAAATAAAATCAAATAAAATATACACCAATGTAGTCCGTGAGGAGCTTCGATGACGAGTTCACACGAGCGAGAAAGCATTCTGGGATGCCAATGACGACTTGAACGAAAATGAAGAAGAAAAGAAAAAAAAAAGATGTCCGACCAATGGAATAAAATAAACCAGGTGACATGGGTAGAAATCATTGGTGCTTCCTAGTATCTAGTAGCAGATTGCTTCCCAAAAACAACAAAAAAAGTTTTTGGTCCTTCTATATATATACATATATGTATATATTATTATTTTTAAAATGTGTGTATATATATATATGTATATATACTTAGTTGCAACAGTGCTTCTC